ATTTCAGGACATCCCGGGGATGTTTTGGATTTTTGAAGGAGGTACGTATTAGGGAATGACTGATGCACGGCTACCTGTTTTTCATGCAACCTTACCTTATCTCCAAAAGATCAGGTGATGGCAGTATGAGGCAAAGCAGTTAGACCTTTTCAGAGTAGCTTTATGCCTTTCTATAAATTGCAGTGCCATGTCCTCCTCTGGCAGAGAGGTGCTAGGCAATAGGAGGTAAGGGAGTGCCAGCCCGTTTAAACTTCGATGCAGCACACAGCAATATTTGGTTGTGCATATGTCCTGTGCTTTACACAAACTGTTTTTTAGTTGTTTGCACTGCTTGAAATACCCTGTGCCTTTCTGAAATGAAACTTGTACTGGCATACAATGAACTGTAATGTTGTCAGCATTAGAGTACCAAAAAAAAACCATCATGAAGCAATGAGCCCTTATCACTTATTTGCCTTGCACTACAGCTATTCTGGGATGAAGAGAATGGCCATAACGAAGATAATAATAATAATAATAATAATAATAATAATAATAATAATAATAATAATAATAATAATAATAATAATAATAATAATAATAATAATAATAATAATAATAATAATAATAATAATAATAATAATTCACACCAACTGGTTTCATTATAACAAATGATTCCAGCTGATTCCATTCCAGGCCAGCTGGTTTCATTTTCAGTCTCAAGTGGTTCATGCTGAGACCAACTGGAACATGTTGCTAATGTGATGGCTTGTACTTAATCCCAGCTGTATACAGCCATGGTTTCAGTTAAAGTGAACTGAAACCGTGGAGTATTTTCACCTGGAAAGGAAAAAATGTAGAAAGTGATGCATCCAAAGGCAGAAAAGAAAACAAAGAGGAAAGATACAACAGGGAACAGAGCAAGAAAAAAAAAGGCGAGCTCTCAAAGAGAAAGAGAGAAGAAAAGAGAGAAAGAAGGAGGCACACGCACACTGAACTTCTCTCGCCCTCATTTTTGAGGGCTCCTCGTTTTTTCCCTATGCGTCACTTTTTTACCGTTACCTGGCTAAATTTTCGCTCCTATACACAGATCGACTGAATTGACGGCGCACTCAGATTTAGCGTACATGCTCGTTGTCACATCCTGTCCCAAAATTCTCATGCCTGTCGTGCCAGAAAACAGCTTTGCAATGAAAATCACTATCGTGCAGCTGAGGAGCTGTATCATGCACAGATCATAATGTCAGCCTGATCGCACGAAGTAACGGTAATAACTTAGTAGTACACCATGCATAACACAAACGTTCAGTGGGCCCTTAAGTTATGTCGTCTTGACTGCAAAAGTGCAAGTTGTGCTTTGCCAGCATTTTCCTCAACTATGAGCCATACACTACAGCTGTGTTTTGTATGAATATAAAAGAGAGTACTGCTTAAAATGTTCAGTACACTGACTATACAATTAAAAATATGGTAATCAGCATTTCTAAGAGTTACATTTTCTTGTAAAAAACTGACACATACTTATGTCAAGATTCATGCCGAAAGTACGTCTTGCCCAAGGATATTTCTGAAAAATTCAGCATATTCCACGTAGCTCCGGAATCGACATTATGCGAAGCATGCGGAGGCATGCTTAGCGTGACCATGTTGTGATTTTTTTATAGCGGCACGTCATGAAATTATGCCAAATATACGTCCAAATGTTCCACACACAGACATACATTGAATAATTCCAAGTGTTTATATAACCAGTTGTTTGCACTTGTGCAATGATGCAAACATGAACTTGAGCATTAGGAACACCAGAATCAATAAGCTGGTATGAAGTGCTGGTGCTAGTGAGGATGGTAGCCCTGGACGCTGCTGCATAAATCAACTTCAGTGCATGGCACCTAGCAACAATTGACGTCAACCCGATATCACAGCTGCATTATAGGAGTACATATGTAATGTTTATAAAGCTGGATTGCCACTACTGCAACCACTATTTACGTTTCATGACCATATGAAGGTATTAAGCTATTTGAAAAGTAGGTCCGAGATCTGGCGTGGCTTTGTTGTAGAATATGCTTGAGTGCCGCGCAGAATGCTTGGGTTTGATTCCTGATGGGACCGCGACATTTATTCTTTGCATTCTACGGGTCAGCACTGCCGATGTAAGGCTTTTTAGATGCGAAGCATCTCTGACTCACGTGTTTAACGCCGTACGTACGTCCGTGCGAACGCACCGCAGCGCGTTTCTCTCGCCGCAGGTATTGGAGCACTGCCAAGTAGGTCAAGTCGCAGCTGCGCGTTGACGTCTCACCCGCAGCAGCTGCCGGCTCCTCCACCCGCTCATAACACACATCTCTCCCACTTCACCCTCTCCACCACCCGCAACGCTCGACCGCACGTCGAGTGGAAACACTTTTTTAGCTCGTTATCTGCGATGAAACTTACACGAAACCCAACCCGCCTCCCATAACTTTGCGTTTCAAACAAACGTTTACTCGAGTAAACATTACACCGAGTTCGCTTCCAGCCGTTCTTCCAGCACCCGCGTCGACGCCCGTTTCAACTGGGTCAACGACGTGAGCACCACTGCTGCTTCGCATCCCAGCAGGGTTCTCCTCGGGGAAATGTTCATAATTTCTCAATGCTCACGCGTCAAAATTTTCCACGTGTGTTCTCGTCATTCCTGGGTAGATGCAAAAAATTAAGTGTCAATTACTTGGGGCACATAGCCGCCCGCGGGTATGTGTCACTGTTCAGCAGGAAGCGTTTGACGACGTGCGTAACAGGATTGTGACCTTATTCATGTCTTCCGGCGCGTCGTATTCGTCAAACTATGGAACTCTCCCATACTAATTTTGGTTCACGCCAAGTTAAGGAGGTGATCACGAGAGCACCCAGACGTGAGCGGCTATAGATAGATAGATAGATAGATAGATAGATAGATAGATAGATAGATAGATAGATAGATAGATAGATAGATTGATTGATTGATTGATTGATTGATTGATTTGTGGGGTTTAACGTCCCAAAACCACCATATGATCATGAGAGACGCCGTAGTGGAGCACTCCGGAAATTTTGACCACCTGGGGTTCTTTAACGTGCACCCAAATCTGAGCACACGGGCCTACGACATTTCCGCCTCCATCGGAAATGCAGCCGCCGCAGCCGGGATTTGAACCCGCGACCTGCGGGTCAGCAGCCGAGTACCTTAGCCACTAGACCACCACGGCGGGGCAGATAGATAGATAGATAGATAGATAGATAGCAGAAATGCTTCGCCTGTAATATCTTTACTCACATTTGTAAAACAGCAACGGTAAAATAAATATGAATTACCTTTCTTAGGTTTAACCAATCACAAGAAGGCTGTTTGTGTATGACGCCTTTTTGTTAATAATCTGCATGCTGTGAAAGAGCTTTTCGTATTGCTCTTCACATGTGCGTTAATTCGTTCCATTTATGCACTTGGAACTGCATGCATGCTTTCATGACGCGGGGACGCGCGTTGCTGTTACATGCAGCATTCAGTATTTCTTTTGTCGAGCTACATGATAGGACATGGCACAGCGCTTATAAAGCACTGCGCATTGCGCCATGTCCACTTATACTCTATGAATGAGTCTTGGAGCTGTCAGCCACAATGATTCTTCACATCCATTTGCTGGTGCGCAAAGTTTCAACACGGTGAAAGGTCATGAAGTATATATATATATATATATATATATATATATATATATATATATATATATATATATATATATATATATATATATATATATATATATATATATATATATATATGTGTGTGTGTGTGTGTGTGTGTTTGTGTGTGTGTGTGTGTGTGTACCCGATAGCAGCATCCGCATCCACACGGGCGCGCGCGTGCGTGCACACGCGCGTTTTAATGTCGGGTACCCCTAGCTGCCTGTAGCACGCGCACGCTATCGCGTTTCTTTGAACTCACCGCCGCACCTGTGGAGAATACAAAAGAACGCAAGGGCTCATGTACGCAAGCCACTTGGAGCCGCCGCACTGAAACTCTGTATTGATAGCCTGTTTCGCTCCTGCAAGGGCTGTGTGCCACAAGGAAAACATAAAGGTGCAAACGTCCTCCGGCTGGCTCTTACCTCGAATTTTCACTGGCACCTAACGCTGCTTTTTCTTTAATGCAGACGCCGCATAGATACCAGAATTTGCCATGAAAAATTACCAAGGAAGCACCGGACGACCCAGCCCAGCTGCACAGCCATTCCTGTTTAAGGAGTTTTTGATCACCCATTTAGGAACCAAACATACTGCATCCTGTCTATTGTCGGTGGATTTATCGGTATGTGTACGTTGCGTACTCACAAACCCGCGCTAGTCTTGCAACAACGTGTTCGCATGCTCGCGCTGCAACAGCGCAACACGCTCCCACGCGCTGCAAGCAAGGGTGCAAGTCGAGCAGACGAAACTTCGGCGGCCGAAGCCCTGCAGCGGCTTGCGCTTCGCCTTCCCATACTGCCTTGCGCCCGCCTTTGGCGCGCGCGCAGAAAGCATACCAGCAAAAGCTCTCATTTCGGAACTTTGTTCCCTAGCACTAGGTCCGTTCGATTCACCTGCACCACGTGAACCAGTTCACAGGGTGCTGCACTTTGTCATTCGTTTCAGCGGTGCAGCATTGACGACCTTTTAACTCTGTCATTCGTTTCAAAAGGTGCAGAAGAGGGGCAGCACTGGTTCAAGATTTTCCTGCACCACCTACACTGACGGTGCTGGCTTGGTGCAGCCGCATGTGCAGCTGAGCAGACGATGCAGCACTTTAGCGTAGGTGGCTTAGGCTTCATACCCGCCTCTACAAACGCGGTGTGTTTCGCCAATATGTTTGCGCCTCATAAACTGTCCACATGTGTGGTTCGCCATCGTTCAGTGTTAGCTGTACGGCGTAAACTGCTGGCTCATCGTCATTCGTTTCGGGGGTCGCGCTGTGCCTGCACCGCTGAACTCACGCTGCACAATTTCTGAACTTCGCGTGCACAGTCGTGAACTGGTTCCAATTGGTGCAGGTGAATCGAACGGACCTACTGCCCTCGTTGTTCAGTGGTGGTCAGTTGTGTCAACGCAGTCGGCGTTGGTTGTGCGGTTGACTGTGCGGACCATTCTAACCGTTGACAGCCGGCGGATTCTGCTACCGTACCGTGTTGAAGATTGCATGTGATCTTCCAGTTGTGCCTGTCAATTCTGTTGCACTTTTCGCGTTGTAGTTTGTTCGCATTTATTTCTCTGCCTAAGTGTGCTTGAAGTGTTCGTGTGCGGCTGCTGAAAAGCCAACCCTAACATGACCCGTGCACTCGTTGCCGGAGACTCAATGTTGAAGTACCTCGCAGGGTCTTTCACATTGAGCTCCAGGACACATGTCGAGGTTCGCTCATTCAGTGGTGTGTGGATCGAGAAATTGTTCTCTTTAATTGCTCATTCTCTGGCAGATGTGCACGTGGTCGTTCTTCACGTTGGCACTAACAATGTCGGTGAAGAACCCCTCGTGCTGATTGCCAGGTTACGATCACTGATCTCCAGAATTCTTGATGTCAATCCGTCAATCCGTGTTGTAGTGTCTGCAATTCTGCCGAGACAAGCGAGTTTGCGCAAGTGCCAGTGGGCGCTGTCTGTCGGAGAATTGGAGGCGTTCAACACGGATGCCGGGGAGACGAATGCCATTTTGCAGGCGCTGTGCCACAAGAACGGCTACGGTTTCGTGGACGGCACATGGGAGCTGATGGGGATGCTGAAGGCTGACGGCGTGCACCCGACGAAACATGGTAGCCAGGTAAGCAATTAATGTGGATGTTACATAGGGTCTAGCTGCCTAGTCGGTAGCAGCTGCGGACGATCAAAGTTACGGGTTAGCGACGAGTCAACGACACATATTGCAATTGTTGCATTTAGAAGGGACGAATTCAATCCTCCAAGAAAACGCAAGCGTGCTTGCAGCGCTACAGTGCACGTGCTTCATCGCAAGCGCCCGCGGAAGATAAAATTAGGTGAAATTAGGCGTGTGTACTGTGATAGTCGTCCTACGTATAATTTCCACGCAGTGTGGTACCGCGCGGTGAAGGCCACGTAAACGTGGACGTTGGAGAATTTAGTTAGCGGCATTCCGCTACGGCCTTTTTAGTTTTTTTCCGAGTTAATTCGTTATGTTGGCACTGCAGGTCCACGGACGACCTTTGAACATAAGTTGCATGTTTAGATCGTCGGAGTCGAGCGGCTGCCTGTTGGTCATGTTTTGCACATGTAGAGCCTTCCGAAATGATTTGATTAGAGTGAAATGACGCGTGCAGTGGGACTATTTGCGACTTCGGCTACCAATGATATGAGCGGGTTTTACTGTGTGTTCATTACCACAGTATATTTGAGAGGCACCAACGGGTAAGCTCACTGGTGCACAGCCTTTACTCAACAGCAGCTCCTTTACTCAGAAGTGCAGAATAAGCACTCTGACAAGAACTACTAAGGAGGCCAGTGAGGTTACCTCCCTTATGTGCATTATGTCTGCCATGAGTTGACAAGCATCTGGTGTAAATGTGAATTCCCTATTGTGCATCAAAGGAAAGATCAATACTACTGTTACTGTTATTGTTATGAACACAGATCATATTTCACCAAACCCATGTTAGCCCATTTCATTCTCTTAATTGAAATACTGAAAATGAGATGTCTGCTGATATACCTTACTTGTTTCCAAAACAGGGCAGCAATGTCTGATATATAAAGTAAAAATTCTGCAAGTCATCTATGTAATTGGATCATTATACATCGAACGTCCCAGCCGTTTTGGCAACCATCCTAAATGTATCGGAAAAAAAATCTTGCTGGAGCACTGTGTTTAAAATAGTGAACTGGTAAAATTTTTCTCTAAGAAAAAATTTTGGGTCACGTGGCTGCCTTCTGAGTTACCTGAAAATTGCAGAACTCCTCGCATGCAATCAGGTCGGCATCAGCTCACACAAAGTCATGTAGACCAACAGCACCTGGTGTCGTTCCATTGAAGCTGGAATGCCAAACAACACTGTACGTAAGCAATTTCTGTGAGGTCTTGGCATGCGTTTGGACAGAAGCACATCAGCAAGAAGTTAGGCAGTCTACAGAACATCTATCGAAATTATGGCACTTTATATGTCATGTGCTGACATAGTTACCAACAGAAGCATTAGCAAAAAGTCTTCTTTTGAAGAAAAAGAAGTCATTTTGCTATCTTCATTGTTCAACAACGTAAACAGCAATGGTTGCACCAGCGCCTTTTGGCAAATACCCAAGTGCCCGACTTGTGAAATGAGCGCCGCTGCAATTTTTTTACATCTACTTTCTCACCTAGTTTAAGGGTCTAAAACAGTCGCATATTACTAACATGTATTTTGGGAATGCTTTTAAAATCTCTTCGCTGTTGAGAGAGAGCAAACACCTTGTACTCAATGAATGTTCATCATGGACGTTATATTTCTTCATTGCTATGAGAACTTCATTCTTCGGGGCTTCTGTTATGGAGGGGTTCAACTGTAAATGTGCTCCTCTGTGTTCCAGCTGTTGGGGTGCCTGCTACGTGCAGCCATCAAGCAAGCAAGCAAGGACCTTGAGGCAAGCCACAATGGAGCATTACAGCAGCAGCACCAGAAAGAAAAGGACCACAAGAAGCTTCGATTCCAGTACAGTGATCAGTCAAAAGGGCTGGCACAGTATTGGAATAATGTAACTAATTTCCCAACTCTTTCCACAGACCCTATGCTTGTTGTAGCCCCTGCATCTCCATGCAAGGAAATGTGGTCGGACGTTGCACGGAAGTCTGATTCTGCTACCATACAATGTCACAGTGCGATGCCAGTGACACCTAAGGTCGCAGAAACAGACACTGCTCATGGGTACCCTTCGCTGCCAATAACTGCAGTGGCATGCACCAGGGCTTCAGCTGTGACTGTTTTCGCTCAAGTAAAACGGCACCCTGTGCGCGCTCCTGCACTTGTCGGTGGTGTGTGGATGCAGCACAAAGTGAAGAAGACTGGGCGTACTGCCGTGCCACTTTGCTCTGCTGCTTTTGAGCAGAGCCCACCTTCTGACTGTGGGCCACCCGACGCCTGCGGCGTAACATCCACGGTGAGCCCCCAGTCAGAAGGTGTGGTTCTGCGCAAGGACAGCAGTGCGGCTGACACCAGCGCTTCCACACCTCGTGATGATCCCCATGTAGAAAAGGAGGTTAGAGTCGAAAATAGGAAAGGGCACAGTAACAAGAAACCAGTTTCTCCTGCTCTTGTCAGTGGTGCGAGTGTGCACCACAAAGTGACGAAGACTGGGCGTACTGCCGTGCCACTGTGCTCTGCTGCTTTTGAGCAGAGCCCACCTTCTGACTGTGGGCCACCCAACGCCTGCGGCGTAACATCCACGGTGAGCCCCCAGTCAGAAGGTGTGGTTCTATGCAAGGGCAGCAGTGCAGCTGACGCCAGCGCTTCCACACCTCGTGGTAAGCAGAAAGCCACTTCAGCAAAATTGTCACAGAGCCATATTTGCACAGGTGGAGGAAATCTTTCTGTAGGGAGCACATTCAGCACTTATAAGGAGTTTAAAGCTAACTTTGAAGGATGGAAAAGTGAAGGGTTCCATCCGATGCATATTGAAAAATCAGATAAAAACCCATTGTGTACTGAGAAAGATTTAAACAAAGCAGACTTTCCTTATGTTCGAGTTAAATTTGTCTGTTGCCACGCAGGGCATCCAAATCCGAGGGGACAAAATATTCGACCCAATCAACGCTTCAACGGTACAGGTTGCAATGTTGAACTTAAGCTTGCGCTGCGGGTTTCTCCACAGCCCTATTATGAAGTTGTAAATTTAGCGGATGTGCACAACCATAAAATAGGTTCGAGATTTTCGTATGGTACAATAATAATCGAGCATTAAGTGCTTCTGAAAAAGAGCAACTTCAGGAGTTGATTTCTTGTAATGTGAAACCTAAAGACCTAAAGGATGCCATTCTGAGGAAAACGGGAAAACACGTTACTTCTCGTGATATTATAAACATGAAGCATAGAACAGTTCAAAAAAATTCAGGACAATGCTCATCATGGAGCCCTTCTGTTAGAAAAAATCAACGAATTGTTTTCAGAAAACTCTGGGTGGAAGGTTATATTGAAAAGAATACAGAAAATGGTCTCTTGTACATATTGCTTCAATCAGAGCATATGGCCCAGTTACTAGAAGTGTTTCTTTGATGGTACTTATAAAGTTAATAAAGAAGAATATATCTTGCATTCGATTCTGTGTGAAGATGGAACAAGCCATGGGAGGCCTGTATGTTATGCATTTGTTCAGCGGGAGACATCAGAAATATTAGTCTTTCCTAGAGACATTCCTTTGTTTGAATCCTGTCGTAGAGGAGAAGTGCAAAATTGTGGTAATGGACAAAGATTTAAATGAAATGAATATAATTCAGCAGCTTCTGGCCAAATGTATAATCTTGTTGTGTTCGTGGCACGTGTTAAAGTACTTACACACGAAAGTGATGCAGCATAAGTCAAACAGTCTAGATAAAAAGTATGTTAAAGATATAATTACGAAACTGGTTTTTGCACATACCGTAGATATATATCAAAGGCACTTGCAGGATTGGAAAAAGCACTTGAAAATGACAAAGCCCTTCTGCAGTACTTTTACAAAAATTGGCACAGCTGCAAGATCATGTGGGTTCATGCTTATCGTGCAAATGCATGTAGTTTAGGAAATAATACTAACAATCGAATGGAAAGCCATAATCAAAAGTTAAAAAATTATCTAACACGTGACATGCACTTAGTGGAAGCAGTGAAAGTTCTGATAACGTATGTGACCCACGATGCTCTAGCACTCAGCCATATGCAATATAAAGAAATGAGAACTTGCATTGACACCAGTAAGACTGATAAGTTTTGCATTGAGGTGTCAGCAAAATGCACCGAATTTGCTAGAAAATTGGTATGTAAAGAATATGGGCTGTTTATGAAATATCCAGGAGACTGTGTTGTCTCTGATGGCAAATGCACCGTTTTTGTTGACAGTAAGCTTTATGAAGTTACTAATAATATGAGGACATGCATATGCACATTTAATGCGCAGTACCAGCTGCCCTGCAGGCACATTCTTGCAGCTAGATCAAAAAATAATATGGAACTGTTTGATGAATGTTGTTTGTCAAAGCCCTGGCTTAAATCTGATTTTGTGCAGATCGACCAGACAGTGTCACCAGACAAACTAAGCATTTTAACCACAAGCATGGTAAAAAAGGTACAGCCAAAACTTGATAACTCAGAGGCCAGATATAAATATGCATATGCACGTCAGTTGGAACTTTCAAAGGAAGCTGCTAATGTACTAGCCCAATGTAGCGCAACTGAACTTTGCGAAAAATTGAGCGAGTGTGAGTATTTTTTCCAAAATCTTGTTACTTACCCTAGAAATAAGAAACATGATTCACCCCTTTCTAAAATAGCACAAAGTAATGAGCAAGTTAGTGGGGAAGGAAAAGGCTTAGAAAAGTCAAAAGAAGTAAGTAATTCGTGGAGTGTAGACCTGAACGACTATCTATTGGCCAAGTCTGTAGATGATGACACTATGAAGAAGGGCTCCACAGAAGATAAATTGGAACTGAAAGTGCAATCTGGTCAAGTTAAATATGATTCAAAAGATGAAATTAACTTTACTATAGCCTCGCATGGTGATAAGGTATGTCAGGTTCTAGCAAAGACATCGGACACTAGCTCTTCGCCTAGTGATTTCGCACAGCAACTGACAGCGCTTAGCATACCTCTAGTTAAATACGCTCGTGGCCGACCACGTAAGAGATGTGCACATGATACGAAGTGGGGAGAAAAATGACTACGTTTGCATGTTTTGAAAAACTCTCAATTTAAAGAGAAGGTACCTGTGACAGTCGTTGGTAGAACAGTGGAAGAAATTAGTGACCCCATAGCTGACGCAATTTGTGGTCCAAATAATTGCAAACCGTACAAAATAAGTTCCTCTGATTTAGTGGCCTTACGAGGCACGGGATGGCTGTCAGATGCAATCGTAAATGCAGCACAATTTCTTATTTCACGTCAGTTTCCTGGTTTGTGCAATTATCAGGATGTTCTTCTTGGGGAGAGCTTGACATTTGAGAAGCGAGACAACTTTATTCAAATTCTGCATATTTTTGGGCATTGGGTTACAGTGACAAATTATGGTGCCCCTACAAACAGTGTTTTTCTGTATGATTCGTTAGACCAGGACATTATGCCAAGTGTAGCAACTCAAGTTATGAACATAATGAGTCTAGTTTCTAATACTCTCACCATTCACGCTAAAGCAGTACAGCATCAAGAGAACTGTTATGACTATGGAGTTTTTGCAATTGCTAATGCATTCACCATTGCATCTGGCGTTGACCCGTGCACCATTGCTTTTGATAAGACCTTAATGCGCAGGCATTTAATATCATGTCTTGCAGACAATGAGATGGTGCATTTCCCTATGGCTACAATGCAAGTGCCCAGGGTAAAACCAAAGTCAAGTTGCTTTTTTGTTCCAAAGTAATATTACATGTTTAAACCATTAAAAAAATCAGCCTTAAACTGAAACCATATAGTTCTATAGCTGCTGATCTGAGACCTTTCTATATATTCCAACTCTAGGTTATTAATATACTCGGTCATCATCATTAGCATTCTTAGTTTTTCTGCCCCACAAAGAATTCTAAAATGACATTCTTTGGTCCGTGTTATCCAGTGAGATAACTTTCTACAGGCGTTATTTATCCAGAAAATAATGCAAACCATTAAACTATATGCACCTTGCTTTTAAAAACTAAGTGGTCTGAGGAAAAGTTAATAAATTTTGATGCCTATCGGTCAATAAAATGAACTTTGTAAATAACGCAGGCCAGAAAGTTATTATTTTTGCGGTATATTTTAGGGACCATGAGCATCCTAGCATGTTGCAACCTTTTTAGATGTTTAAGTATATAAATGTATGAAACCTTTTAAAGGGGCCCTAAAGGCATACTGTTAGTACACTGTTTGTGGTCCACTGTTTGTTCCGTGCTAAGAAAATGCCTTGTTTAAAAAGAAGTTATATATTAAGTGGTCGGCATGCTACAACTGGTATTTAAACAACTTTCCAAGTAGGTCTTCTTGACATTTTGTCCCTTTGGTGGCATGAAATACAGTAGTAGCAGGCGTGGTAGAAGGAAAGTTTTGTTATTATGAGCAGACACCGGTCAGTAGCTTCGGAGAAGCTTCTGTGGCACAGGTAGGTAATTTAAGAGAACTTTCACTGCCCACCCCCACCCCCCTTTTTTGGGGGATGATTGAAGCTAGCCATGAGTCTTGTCGGCGGCTGTTAGTTCAAAGAAAGAAATAGAAAGAACCAAGCAGCATTTCATACCAGATTTGGGCGCACGTTAAAGAACCCTAGGGGGTAGAAATTTCCGGAGCTCTCCACTACGGCGTCTCTCATAATCATATGCTGGTTTTGAGACGTTAAACCTTACTTATAAAAAAATAAGCATTTCATACCAGATTTTAATGCGCTGAAATCGTCTTTTCTACTGTGGACAGTTTCAGTAATTACTTTATCTGGGACTCGACTACGTCATTTTATAGAGTTACAGAGTTTGCAGAATATGGCATGGGTGACTGGAGCCTTATCATACATTTACTTCTTTCTTGGGGAACTAAGCCCTGTAGATAATACTGACGTTTAGGCATTCTTAAACTTTCACTCATCATTCGAACAAGAGAAATTTTTTGCCTTTAGCGTCCCTTTCAGATGAAGAAAATTTGTTCCTTTGTGATTGAATGCCTGACTTCATTTTCTAAGCTGTGCTATGTGGAAACACATACTTCGGCAAAATGAAAGCTAATGCGGGCAGCTGGTGAAAATTTACTTTTCCAACTGTAAATAAATTTTATGTGATTGTATTACAATGTAAGATGTTCCTAATGCATTAACAAATAGTTCATATTCTGAACATTCCCTAGAAAACAGCATCATTTCTCGTAAAAGCCTAAATGTTTGCTATGGCAAAGTTTGATTCCATTAGACTGGCTGCAGTTTGAGGCAGCAGTTCAGCATGGCCTGTATTAGTTTCATATAGTCTAAGTCTCTGGGCGGAGCCTGACCGCTACAGAGCGCGTTCTCGGGTGGCGGATAGAGAAACGTTCCATGATGTCAAGTTGCACAAAGCTGCTTCATATCATGGTACAGGCAGTTATGCCCGCGGACCAACAGGCATATAGTCATGGTTTATATTAGTGACAACCATATTTTTGCTGCTGTTAGCAGCCAGTGGTTTTTACACATCACCCAAATTTAAGTCAGTGCATATACTTAGACATTGTGATGTGCGTTTAACATCAGTGCAGTGCTCATGTTGGTTACCATTCACGAGACCATAACAAGGACCTGCTGCCAGCCATCATGTCCAGGTCCTGACCTGCCTTTGGGAGGCTGACTCAGCCGTCTAGGTTGGCGAGCGGGTTCCTGCTTCTGGTCACCAGCCACGATGGTGCAGTGACCAGCCACCATGGTGCATGCATGGGTAGATCTGTCTGATATAAAGCGTTAATGCAGGCTTGTTAGTACGTCGTGAACTTGCTATAAACAGCACTACAACTAGACAAAGAAAGAAGAAACAGAAGCTGCAAGGGACATCCTGTCTCTGGCAGCTCTATCTATCAGATGTTCTGATCTCTCTGCTCACGTTTGGAGATTGTTTTCACACTGTGACTGAAGCACTTCTGCCCATGACTTATGGGTGAATTGGGCTTCTCATCTGCTTCAGCCAACAAATACACCTGCAAAGAATGAGTCTACCACTGTTGATGACACTAGCATTAAAACTACTAGTGACTGTTTTTGTTTCAAATGTTCAGCAGAACTTCATTTAATTACAAAGCTATGCTTGTCTTAGTAGTTTGGTAATGGGTGCAGTTTCAGTGTGATTGTTTTGCTTTTATTTAAAATTACTTTAATTTTAAATGTTTGACATTTGTGTGTGAAAAACTGGCTCATCCTTTCCTGAAACGAGACCCTGCCTCAGTAAAACGATCCTGCATTGCAGGCATGAGGGCTGAATGGCTGCAGCTGCTTCAATGCTGCCCAAGGATTAAGTGTTGATGTTCGAGAGCAGCAGCCATAGGCCGATAGAAAAAATGGAACCTATTTAAACTCACTCAAGAAATACATTTCACCATTGAAACTCACTTGGACTCAAATTCACTTAAATTTAGCTCAACAGAACTAATTGGGACTCGCTAAACTGTTTGTCAACCACTCTCACTCAGGCTCAAACTTACCAACATATTACTCAGTTCGGCACGCTCAGACTCGCGATTTGACCTGTGTCTGAGTGAGCGAACAGCTGTCACTAGTCGCAATCCAATAAGAATATTTTTATGAAATATGCAGCTCACAAGCCTTGGATAAATCGTGATCTTTACCGGCGTATAAAAATAAAGAATAAATTGTATCATGATTTCATCCATTCACGGAACACAGACGCCTTAGCTGAGCACAAGAAATACAGAAACATTTTAAATTCAGAAATACGGAAGGCTAAACAAAACTACTATGAAAAATTATTTGAAAGCATTTACAATAACCAGAGGAAACTATGGGAGGTCATAAATGGGCTTACGAACACAAATAAGGGTTGTAATAGGACACGGGACCTAACAATTAATGGTCAGATTTTCAGTGGTGAAAGGTTGGCCAATGTTATGAATGAACATTTCATAAATGCGGGTTCCTTTATTTTAACGGATGAAAAGCGAGATAATGCTCCAATGCCTGATAAGTCTCCTTTGCCGTATTCTATTTTTCTCGCACCCACAGATCCGGTTGAAGTAGAAAGATTAATCAGAAAACTTAAAAACAATGTTGCATCAGGGATTGATGAGATAGGTTCTGTTGAGTTAAAAATGGTGTCACCATTGATATCTAATGTCTTGGCCTATATTATCAACCTCACCCTCACTAACGGTGTACTTCCAGAGCAGTTAAAAGTGGCAAAAGTCACTGCAGTACATAAAGATGGTGATATCAATACTTTAGCGAACTATCGACCTATATCCCTGCTTCCAACAATATCCAAAATATTTGAAGGGGTTATTTATGATAGACTTGTATCCTTTTTTGATAAGCATCAAATAATAACAAAAAGTCAGTATGGTTTTCAAAAAAATAAATCAACAGAACAAGCTCTACTGTATATCAAAGATAAGATAATCGAAAATATGGAAAACAAAAAATATACTCTTGGGCTCTTCCTCGATCTTCAAAAGGCATTTGACTCCATACAATTCAAATCATTGATTCATAAATTATCAAGTTATGGGGTGCGTGGAGTTGCATTACAACTGTTTAAAAGTTACCTTGAAGATCGTTATCAATATGTACAACTGAATAACACTATTTCTGCAAAGATAAAATTAAACCAAGGAGTCCCCCAAGGGTCTATACTGGGGCCATTATTGTTCCTTGCCTATACAAATAATATTGTCGATATACCTCATTCTCCTGAACTTATAATGTACACTGACGATACGAATCTTTTCTTTTCATCAGACAATCTAATATCACTTGAGGTCAGTCTAAATAATTATCTAAGCAATCTTTCAAATTGGTTAAGGCAAAATGGACTGCGCTTGGATTAAAAAAAAAACAACCTATATGATATTCCGACCTATAAACAAACCTATTAGTAACATAACTGTAAAATTCGAAGGAAATTGCATCGCACATGTTAGGGAACAAAAGTTTCTTGGTGTATGGTTTCAGGAGGAATTAAACTGGAACACACATGTAAATCATCTGATCACCGCATTAGCGTGAATAGTTGGTTGTTTTTTTAGAACAATGCACTTAATCCCATTGAGGTTAAAAATAAGTATGTACTATGCACTCTTCCTTTCTAAAGTAACTTATGGGATATTAGTCTGGGGAACGACATCACAAGGGAATTACCATAAGTTAATAACTATACAAAAGAAAATATTGCGCTGCTTTGAAAAATATAGGGGGAATCTACAAGACTTGCGCACTGGTGCACTATTCATTAAACATTCCATACTCAGAATTGATCAATTATATCATTTTAAATTGCTTCAGTTAATACAAAAGACTAAGCTATATGAAGAAAGTTGCACCGAAAGACCACACTACAGTCTGCGAGAACAAAAGAAACGAGCTCCTAGAACAAGAACCAAGTATGGAAAACAAAGTATTGCTTACCAGGTACCTCAGGTTTTAAATACCCTTGCAGATCAATTGAACTTTAGGGCTAGTAGTGCGACTTTCAAAAAACAAATAAAGAACTTATTCATAACCACCGGTCTACACTATCGAAACTACGTAATGAAGTCTCATGCCTCTGCAAATGCTTAAATTGTTCATAAATTTCTATGTCAATTATACGAGTGTATACAGCGCAATTCATTGTATCCACATGCATTTTGTTCTGTTTTTGAGTTGTTTCATTGATATCGTTTAGTTGTGAATTTTTACGAGAGTGACCTCTAATTCTTAAAATGTGTTATATAAACTTCTTATGCTATTTATGTTTGAATTTTGTGTGTACAATTGCAGGTTGCTTGAAACCAATATATTGAATATATATATTGTTTGTCAGTGATGATGTCTAAGCTTTGCACTGTCACGGACTGCGGAGGGACAAGGGCCTTTGTCAGGCTGTTCGCCTTTAGCCCTTTGCCCCTGCAGTGAGCTCTGTATCCGGCTTACTGTAAATAAAAGTACTACTACTACTACTACTACTACATCAGAAATTTTTGCCGTGAATGTCCCATGAGCGAGTTTCTGAAGGCAGGTCTTGGCGACCCCCTTATCTCCTAACTTGCGCCTCTGTGCAATAACCGCATGAACGGTTGTGTGTTGATGTATGCTTGAACAGACTTGATTAGCAATGTAAGCAAATATGATGTTGATAGTTATGCTGATAGGCAGGTATATAGGAACATAGGTCAGAAATAAAATGTGGTGCTCACTAAGGCTCACCCAAGAAATACACGTTGAGCTTAGGGCTCACCACCTCAGACTTGCAAATATTTTCCTCACTCGGATTCAAGCTCATTAAAATTTTCCTTAGCCACACTCACTCTACTCAAACTCATGTAATATTACTCAGCTGTACTCACTCAAACTCACGACTCGATCATAGTCCAAGTGAGCCTGGCCCCATTAACGTCCAACGTGCCATGCTTGAATCAGCCAATCGCTGATACAATGGCTGTAATGGGTAATTTTTGAGCTTGTAGAGCAATTAGTCGAGTGAAAGGAAAGCAATTTTCAGGTGAATTTGAACATTTATTGAGAAATTGTGGCCTTGTGCGGCACAACAATATTTGGCTCACCTGTTCTCGGGAGTCTAGACTACCGATTGGCCGCGTTTTACGACCATATTCAATAAGAGTTGCAGTGCCCCTTAAACTTTGAAGAGGTTTTGCGGCAGTGCGAATTCTCTTGGATAGGTGCTTTCACAGCATAGCACTCTATGCTTCAGTGAAATCACCTTCACAGGAGGTTATGTGCGGATAATTAACTATTTGTTCATTGCAAATACTTCAAAATTTTTAATAATTTAAAATCGAGTCGAAGCGAGTTTGAATACAGTACTGTTCCTTCAAATATTCGAAGCATTTGAATATTTGCACAACCCTGCTTTTTTTAGTTAATATATTTGTATTTTTTGCTCTCTCTACGCAATTGGTTTCTCCCCTTGTTTTTTTCTCTTTCTCGTCTTTCTAATAGGTTCTCCCATCTTCTTTTTCGCTCTCTCCTTTGCATCCTCCCTTGCCTTTCCCACCCCCTATACTATTTACTATTTAAGACTATGATTTCTTCTGTCACCATGCATAAATAGCTGAAGAGTTATGCTCAGCTTTCAATTCGCTGGTTCAAATATTGCCTCGGGTAAGCAAAAAAAAAAAAAACACCAAGAAGTATTCTTGTTTTCTTTTCTTCTGCTGCTAAGAAGTGGTTCATTGCAGATGGGACCCCTCTTCTAAAGCGGCACAGGTTCGGAGGTGCCAGTTAGCTTGCCAGTATCCATTCTAATGTTATGACTGGCAGTGCAAGGACCAAGTCTGCAATAGACGCTCATTGGCGTACCAGCCAAATGTGGTACGCGTCCAGCAGAAACGCAAGAGGTGTCTGGGTGTGCTGCAGGAAACACGCATCAGTGTTGCTGGGACAGACAGTTCGTGTTTGAGGAGAGGCGCATGCACGGACCGAGGATATGAAAAGCGCGTCGCGTGTGCACTCAGGGCTCTCTCTGTGGCCTTCGTTACGGCCAGTCCTGTCTCCTGTAAAAGTGCATCTCGACGCCTTGTGTTTCTTACACCTGTAAATATGTAAATAAATCGTGTGTTTCTGTCGTCAAGAAGCCTCTCAAAGGTGTCTTCTTCCCTGGCACCTGGGTGAAAGCCTGTGCCCCTAACCTCGGTGACATCAAGGTGTGCTTCCCAAAAGCATCGCTGCGGTATGTATAGTGTGCTCACAATTGACAACAATGAAGGCATGGCTAAACTTGTTCCTGGTTTATCAACAGCCTTCTTGC